TATCCTATGAACATTGGTGGAATTTCTTTCTCTAGGAGTGAATTCAGAAAATTAATCTGTTGCGTAAAAATAATATTAAAAAATAAAAAAAACAAACGATATTGATATTATTATAATTATAATTTATTGGGAATCTCGTACATTTGAAAATTTATAATCTTTATTAAATGCGTTTTTTAAAAGTAATAATTGTGATTTCTTGTCTTTTGATTCGCTCATTTTATTATATTTGTAAATTGATAAATAAAAAAAAAAAAAGAAAAAAATTTTAAAAAAAATATGAAAAATTTAAAAAAAAAAAAAAAAAAAAAAAAAAATTTTATAAAAAAAAAAAAAAGAGAGCCTATTTATTTATTTAATTATGTATTAATTTTTTTATTATTTAGTTTTTTAAAATTATAATCTATTTATATGTATATTTTTTTTAAAAAAAATTGAACATCACTTCAAATAATTTTTTTTAACCTTTTTTTTTTTAATTTTTTTTAATTTATAAATTTAACAAATTAAATTAAAATTTTTTTTTTTTTTAATTTTTTTTTTTTTTTTTTAATTTTTTTTTAATTTTTTTTTAATTTTTTTTTAATTTTTTTTATTTAAAATTATTTTTTTTGAACTCACCATCATTCAATTAATTTTTTTTTTTAAAATTTTTTTGTATATATAAATTCTTTGTTTCTATATTTTTTTTTTCCTTTTTTTCTTTCTTCATATTTGTATATAAAAATTCTAAATCTATCATTTTTTAGGTGTACTTTTAAAAAATATATTATAAAAAATGGAAGAATTAGGTTTACCAACTTCAAAAGTTTGTGTTTCCATAATAATATAAATAATAATAAAAATAATAATTACAATAATAATAATGGTCATAATAAAAACAATGTTTATTTTATTATAATATTGTTAATAATAATATAGTAAATTTACAGATAATAGGAATAGTTTTATTAATAAATTTATTTTTTATAATTAACAGGTTACATTAACAAAAGATACTCCACATCACCATCATCGTGAACAAGATTTATATATAAAGATGAAGGGTTTGGAAAGTAAATTAGATTTTTTTAATATTCAAGAAGAGTATATTAAATATGAATATAAAAATTTAAAAAGAGAATTATTACATGCTCAAGAAGAAGTAAAACGTATTAGATCTGTACCATTGTTAATTGGTCAATTGTTAGAAATGGTTGATACCAACACTGGGTAAATATTATAGAATTAATTTAAATTTTAATAAAATTCAATATTAATTTTTATTTTTTTTATTAAATTAAAATTTAAAAATAGTATTGTTCAATCAACATCAGGATCAACATTATGTGTTAGAATTTTAAGTACAATCGATAGAGAACTTTTAAAACCATCAGCTTCAGTAGCTTTACAAAGACACTCAAATGCATTGGTTGACACTTTACCACCAGAATCAGATTCAAGTATTCATTTATTAGGTGCTGATGAAAAACCATCAGAAAGTTATTCAGATATTGGTGGTGGTGATATTCAAAAACAAGAAATGCGTGAAGCTGTTGAATTACCATTGACTCATCATAATTTATATAAACAAATTGGTATTGATCCACCAAGAGGTGTCTTATTATATGGCCCACCAGGTACAGGTATGTATTAATAACTAAAAATTAAATTTATTTATAAACACATAATACTAATTTAATTTTTTTTTTTTTTTTTTTTTAAAAAAGGTAAAACTATGTTAGCAAAAGCTGTTGCACATCACACTAGTGCAGCCTTTATTCGTGTTGTTGGTTCAGAATTTGTTCAAAAATATTTAGGTGAAGGTCCACGTTTAGTACGTGATGTTTTTAGATTGGCAAGAGAAAATGCACCAGCCATTATTTTCATTGATGAAATTGATGCTATTGCCACCAAACGTTTCGATGCCCAAACTGGTGCAGATCGTGAAGTTCAACGTATTCTTATGGAATTATTAAATCAAATGGATGGTTTTGATGTAACCGTTAATGTTAAAGTTATTATGGCAACCAATCGTCAAGATACATTAGATCCAGCTCTCCTTCGTCCAGGTCGTCTTGATCGTAAGATTGAGTTTCCACTTCCAGATCGTCGTCAAAAACGTTTAATTTTCCAAGTAATCACATCCAAAATGAATCTTTCTGATGAAGTCGATCTTGAAGATTATGTTGGTAGACCAGACAAACTTTCTGGTGCCGAAATTCAATCAATTTGTCAAGAAGCTGGTATGCATGCTATTAGAAAAAATCGTTATGTTATTCTCCCAAAAGATTTTGAAAAAGGTTATAAATCTGCCATCAAAAAGAATACTCATGAATTTGGTTTCTATAATTAAAAAAAATAATAATAAAAAAAAAAAAAAAAAAGCTCATAAGTTTTTTTAAAAAAAAAAAATAAAAAAAAAAATAATAATAATATTAATCAATAATCAATAATTAATAATAATAATAAAATTTAATAAATATGTAAATTAATTTATTTATAATTTCAAATTATAAAGGTTATTTTTTTTTTACCTTTTTTTTTATAATCAATCAAAAATAGATTTCATACCCCACCAAAATAAATTTTTTTTTTTTATTACATAGGTACATTTAATTATTATAATAATAAAGGAGAGTTTTAGATATTAACTTTCTGTGCAATTGTTTTTTTAAAAGGTTACTTAACGTGGCATGAGCAGCACCACTTTAATTATAAAAATCTAAAAATTTAATCGAGATAATGCTAATCAAACACAACTGCGGTTAAATTTAAAAAAAAAAAAATATATTTATTTTTATTTTTATTTTTTTTATTTTTAATTTTTTAAGTTTTTTTTTTTTTATTTTTACTTTTTTTTTTCTTTTTTTTTCTAAATATATAGTTTATCATTATAATTATTATTATTATTAATGAGAAAACATTAATATATAATTTTTAAAAAAAAAAAAAAAAAAAAAAATGGGATCTAAAGAATTAAAAGATCATGATGAAATTTCAAAAAAAGTAATTAAAAAAAAAGGAGTTTATAAAAAAAGAAAATGTCAAGATTGTTTCTTTTTATTATTATTTTTAGCATTTTGGGCAGGTATGATTGTAATTGCTGTTTATGGTGTTAACCATGGTAATCCTCAAAGGTAAATATTAAAATATCAAAAAAAATAATATTAATATTATTATCAGCATCAACATCATAATCATTATCATAATCAAAGAATTATTATTAATTATTATTTTTATTTAGATTAGTTAAAGGAACAGATTCATATGGAAATATTTGTGGTGTTAATAATATTGAAGAGGGTAAATTAAATGCAACCCAAGCAAGAGATTTAAGGGATAAGAAATATGTTTATTTTATTTATTATACAGAGTTATCAATCACATTACCAACATATCGTGTAGTTTGTGTTGATGAATGTCCAAATGAAACATTTTTAATTCCACAAAATGAGACTGAATTAATTTGTGATTATGATACTGTACCATCATTAGAAGCAATTTCACCAAATGGGACATGTATGGGTAAAATTTCAAGTTCACCATTTATTAACCGTTGTTTACCCAATATAATTGTCAATGGTACCCAAACTATTGCAGATAAGATCTATCAATTTGTAAATAACGAACTTTCAAAAGATACAAGTGTTAAAGTTTTAACCGATTTAGCAACATCATGGCGTTACCTTATTTATGGTGCTTTAATTGCAATGGGTTTGGGTTTAGTATGGATATTCCTTTTAAGATTTTTCGCTGGTTTAATAACATGGTTAACAGTGTTTGCCGCTTATGCTTGTTTGGGTTTATTGACTGCTCAAGTTTATTTCCAATGGCAAAAAGCTTCCGATAGATATGATGAAACACCACCATCACAGCGTTTAACAATGCAAGAGGATAATATATTGGCACTCAAGGTTATTTTCATTATACTTTGTGTAATTTGTGGTATCTTTGCATTAATCCTTTTAGCATTGTTCTCTCGTATTCGTATTGCAATTCGTATCATCAAAGAAAGTAGTAGAGCTGTTGGAATTATGCCATCAATCTTTTTCTTCCCAGTCTTTATATTCATTCTTTTAGCTGGTTTCATCCTTTATTGGGTCTATATTGGTATATATCTTGGTACTGCTGGTGAACCTGAGTACGATGAAAACTATAGATTCATTGGTTACAATGCCGATGACACACTTCGTAAAATACAAATTTATCACTTTTTTGGTTTCCTCTGGACTATAGCATTCATTTTAGCATTAAATCAAACCACTATTGCCGGTGCAGTCGCATCTTGGTATTGGGTTCATGATAAAAAAGATACACCATTCTTCCCAGTTTGGGCCTCGTTATGGCGTGTTATCCGTTATCATTTAGGTTCTGTTGCTTTTGGTTCATTAATTTTAGCAATTGTTCAATTCATTCGTTGGGTTTTACGTTTCTTAGAAAAGAAATTCAAAGGTAAAGAAGCTTATTTTGCTCGTTTCATAGTTAGATGTTTAAATTGTATTTTTGGTTGCTTTGAAAGATTCATCAAGTTTTTAGATAAAAATGCTTATATTATGGTAATTATAAAATATAAATGTCATATACCAATAAATAATATTAATTTTTTTAATTACTTTATAGATTTCAATTTATGGTTACTCTTTTTGTGAAGGTGCTAAAAGAGGGTTCCAATTAATTTTAACAAATATTTTAAGAGTAGCAGCTGTAAATATGGTTAGTTCATTTTTAATGTTTTTAGGTAGAATTTTTATTACTGCTGCAACAGTTGGTATTTCACTTTATCTATTGGAAAGATTCGAAAATTTAACTTTTTATGTTATTCCAGCAATTTTAATTGGTTTCATAGCTTTTGCCATTTCAACTGGTTTCATGTCTGTTTATGATATGACTATCGATACAATTCTTTTATGTTTCTGCGAAGATTGTGAAAGAAATGATGGTTCGGCTGAACGTCCTTACTTTATGAGTAAGCGTTTACAAAAGTTTGTTAAATAATTAATAATTTAATTATATATATAGAAAATTTATTTTGTATTATTTAAAAAAAAAAAAAAAAAAAAAAAAAAAAACAAAAATATTGTAATAAAAACAAAAACACAAATAATTATTTATTATAAAAAATAAAATAGTTTTGATTAATTATCTTTTGGGTCAAAAGGTTAACAAGAATTTTATAAATTTTTTTTTTTTTTTTGGTTAATATTTATATTTTAAATTATCACAATGATGATAATATTCATTAAAATAAAAAACGAGTAGGAAAAAACATGATTTATTTCTCACAAGTTTCGCTTTATTTGTCTAATGGTATGATAACTGCCTTCCAAGCAGTTGGCCCGGGTTCGATTCCCGGATAAAGCATATATCAATTTTTTTTTTTTTTGCTAAAAAGTTTCAGGTTCCAGAACCACTTTTGTCTCTCCAGGCCACCTTTTTTTTTTGCTAAAAAGGTGGCCTCTTTGGCAGGTTTTAAGAATAACTTTTAAAAAAAAAAAAAAAAAAAAAAAAAAAAAATTTTTTTAAGCATCAAAATTAGATTTAAGTTAATATATTATTTTTTTATTTTAAAATATTTTATGCCAAAAACTAATTTCAATTTTAATTTTTTTTTTTTTATTTTTAAATTAATTTTTTTTTCATTTTTTCATTTTTTCTTTTGCTTCTTTTTTTTTTAGACTTTCAAATAAAACAGATTATCTCCACAGTTTTAATTATGGTGTTAAAAGATTCTTTTTTTTTTTTTTTGTAAATATTGGTTGTTATAATGTTTAAAAGTCTATTTTATTTTAAATTTTTTTTATTCTTCTTTTCTATAAAAAGTTTTATTTTATTTTATTTTTTTATCATTTTATTAAAATACAACAAATTAAATAAAACAAAAATAAATAGATTAGTAAATAAATTAATAACCAAATTAAAAAAATGACAAAGTTAATTTCAGTTTTAAATGGTACAGGTTTTCAGGTAAGAAAAATAATATATCTAAAATACATTAAAAATTTTAATAAAGATAATAATTTAATTTAGGGTAGATCAGTAGTAAAAGAGTTAATAAAAGATGGATTTAAAGTTAAAACATTTACAAGAAATTTAAATTCAAATGTATCAAAGGAATTAAAAGGATTAGGTGCCGAAGTTATTGAATATGACTTTGAAGGGAAATCAAAAGAGGAAATTGCGCAGGTATTAGAGGGTAGTTATGGGGTATATTTAGTTACTCTAACACCATACACCAAAAATGAAGTTGAATATGGTGTAAATGTTGCAGATGCTTCTTTATTGGCTGGCACAGTCAAGCATATTGTGTTTTCAACACTTCCAAACGCAATGGAAATTACAGGTGGTAAAGCTAGGTTACCAGATTACGAAAACAAATGTGAAATTGAAAAGCATATTAGACAAATATCAAAACAAAGCAATGATCAATTTGTATCATCATTTGTTTCAGCCCCGATGTATCATCAAAATTTTCAAACTTATTACCCACCAGTTAAAACCCAAGGTGACAGCGATTCATATTCGATTACACTACCAGGTAAACCAGATCTCAAGCTTGATTATGGCGATATTAATGACATTGGAAAGATTGTAAGTGAACAATTTAAAAATCCAGCAAAGTATTCAGGTATCATAGTCCCATTTTCTTCAGACGAATTAACAGGTGACCAAGTTGCAGAAATATTTTCAAAAGTAACCGGTAAAAAAGTTGTTTACAATTCTATTTCAACTGCCGAATATAGTAAATCAAATAATTTAGAAGCAGGTGCATATGCCGATATGTTTGACTATTATAACGAATTTTCATACTTTCCAAGTAGTTTTGATAAAACATTTGCAAAAAATATTACAAAATTAACAAATTTAGAAGAGTTTTTAAGAAACATTAATTTTAAATTGGAATAAATGAAGAATGTATTAAATACCACATTTATTATTTTTATATTATATCTATAAAATAAAATATAATAAACAAAATAAAATACAAAACCATGATATTTTTAAAATTAGTTTATAACTTTTATTATTTTTAGATTTTTTTTTGAATTTGTTTTGTGTTTTTAAAAATTCTTTTTTATATTGTTTTGTGAAAAAATTATCTTTTTAAAACTATTCTTGGTTCATTTTGTAATTCAGTGGTTTCTTGGTTTTCATTTGTAACCGTCCATTTTTGTCTATATTTTTTATAAGTTACGGTACCTTTAGCTGTCTGTTGAGTATATATTCCATGATGTTTATCAATGCATTGACTATAATCATTATTGAAAAATAAATGACTATAAGATCTTCTTTCACATAAACAAAATCCATTGGTTTTGTTTTTACATTCACAGGCAATCGCTCTTTTAAAAAGACCTTCTGTAATAGTTCTTAAGTTGGTATGTCCACAACATGGACATGGTTGTTCCATAGACCCACCTATAATTGAAGAAATCCCATTTCTATTTAAGTTCATACTTTGACCAATTAGATCTATGAGGCCATCTGTTCCAGTAAAAATACTGTATTCGCCACTAACATTATTATTGTGATAAAAATTTGGTGATACTTCTATAATGTGTTGTGGCATTTGGGTATTTGGAGTTGTTAGTTTAGGACGTCCAAGAATAAATACTTGAGAAGAGATTGGAGTAGAAACTGGAGCAGAAATTGAATCAGAGACAGGGGTAAAGACTTGAACAGAGATTGGATCAGAAGCTTTATCAGAAACAACTTGTTGTGATTCTGTTGTATTTACTGAATTGTCATAAAATACTTTATGTTTTTTCAAATCTTTAAGATTTGTTCCATTTTGGCAACATTTAATAAAATGTTTAAAATTTTCAGCTGATATATTGTTTGGTAATTTATCTATGAATTCTTCTAACAAATCACCCAAATCTTTGATGTCAATATTTGCATTTAATTCTTTCGGTTTGTTTTTTCTAGTATAAATTGTTGTATGGGTTAAATTAATATTTTTTTTAATCATTGAAACACCAAAATCTATTAATGTTATATTATTATCACTGTCTATCATTACATTATCACTACAAATATCGCAGTGTAAAACTTCACTTTCATTTAGATTTTTTAAGATATCGAAGAATTGATTTATGATTTTGAAAATCTCCTCTCTATCAAAATTTGATGTACTTTCCAATTTTTCTTTAATTGTACATGAGTTTCGAACAAATTGGGTTACAATATAGAAAAATGATTGTCCATCTGGGGAAATGATTTCTTTGCTATCTTCGTATTTAACAATGTTGGGATGATCCAATAGTTGTATAATATTTTCTCTTTTTGACTATATTTAAATAATATAATAATATTAAAGTTAGTTTTTTTTTCTTTATATCTTTTTTTTTTTAAAATTTACCTCTTCCTTGTTTGTTAATTTTTTAATAAAAAACTCTGGATTGTTTTTAGAATAATAAAATGTTATTCCTCTTTCATTACATTTTGTTACATATTCACCTTTGGTATATTTTTTTAATAATTTTTCAAAATTATTATTGTTATCCATTTTTATTATTTTTGATGTGTGAAAATTTTTTAAAATGTTTTTTTTTTTTTTTTTTTTTAAGATTTATAATAATTTTTGGTTTGTATTTTTTTTTAAAAAAAAAAAAACAAAATTTTTTTTTTTTTTAAAATCCCTTTTTTCAATTTTTTTTTCTTTTTAAAATTTTAACAAAAATTAAAATGGATGATGCAAAAGCTTTATATAACACTCACACGGTAGAACATTCTGAAGGAAGGGTATGTATATTTCAATTATTTTTTTCTATTCATTTTAATTAATATATAAAAAAGCAAATTTTAGATTCCAAAACAAAAAACCTTATTTTTTTATACGGACATGGCCAAAATGAAAATACTGTAGAAATATTATCAACAATATTACAAGATAAAAATACCAATAATGATTTTATAATTAAAAAATTAAATCATTCAAATGTAATGACTAGTGCGAAACTTTTTATTAAAAATCATGTAAAATGGTCACCTTGTTACAATATTATTTTTTACTACTCGGGTAAAATTCAATATGAAGGTAATTTAATTTATTTTAAAGCTTTATAAATTTTTTAAAAACTTTATTAATTTTTACAAATCAAATTTTAACATCTCTTTATATTGTATATATTACTTAGCTGATGAAACTATTTCATTATGCTCTGAAGATGAAACAGGTTCTTTAGATGAAATTTATAGGAATATAATAACAGAACTTACATCAAAAAATAATAAAGGTATTTATTTATAGTTCGAAAAAAATAAGTTTTCCAAACTAATAAAAAATTGTTTTTTTTAGGACAATTAGAAGAAACTAAATTAAAACTGGTATTTTTTATCGATTCCTATGATGGTTCATTAATAGAAGATGATGCATCAAGATTAAAAATTACCCGTGATTATCTTAAGTGTGGTTCAAAATTACCAAAATGTTCACATCGTATGTATAATTAATTTTAAAATGTACATTATCAAAACTAAATTAAATTTTTTTTTTTTTTAGCATATGGAGTAATGACACTTCCAAGACCATTTAATAATGTATCATTAAGAGAATCTTTAGATAATGATCTTTCCCCATTCGCTAATTTTTTAATAAATAGAGTTAATAGTATTGAATTTGGTAAAAGATTGTTTTATGAAACTGCAAACATTTTAGCATCAGAATTTTGGTCTAAATTTATTAATCAATGTTCTAGTTCAGATGAAAGTTTTCTTATAAATGTTGCTAAAGATTATATCGACATTCATAATGGAAAGAACTCAAAACTTAATGAAGAAATAAAAGAGTCAATCATACAAAGAGAATTTAAAATATTATCAAATGGAAACGATTCAAATGTATTTATGTTCAAATTTTAAAAGATAAAAACTGCTCATAAAAAATATACATGATTTAGAATAAAAAAAATATAAAGTATATAAATAATTTTTGTTTGTTTTATTTTATATTTATTTTTATTTTTATTTTTATTTTATTTTATTTTATTTTTATTTTATTTTATTTTATTTTATTTTATTTTTATTTTTTATTTTTATTTATATTATATTTTTTATTTATTTTTATCAATTATCGTTAGCCTATTCATTTAAAAATTTTTAAATGAAAAAATTATTCATTTTTACCCATTTTATAAATTTACCAATAGATGTAAAATAACAGCCCAATAAATTTTTCTATTTCGCCTTCTTTTAATTTTTTTTTTACAAATTTTTTTTATTTATTTTATAAATTTTTTTTTTTATATGAAAGGTCAAAACAATTTGGAAATACTAATCTCAGTTACTACTATCATGACATTTAATTCTACCATGTTTGTTCATACCAGTACACCCACCGACTAAATGTTCAATTGATTCCTCAGCACTAAAACATAATCTACATCTTGTATCAGGTAAGCAAGTTGAGTCACGGTGTAAGATTGAAACTCTATTTGAAAGTATTGATAAGATTGCTTCCCAAAAGGTTGTTTAAATATTAGGGGGTATGTGAACCCAACAGTTCATCCAATGTAACCACGATTTGTGAGAATCTCTCCATAACCGTTTCTTACCAACACCTACTTATTTATTTAGAACCTTATTTCGAACAAATTTTGTAACAATATAAAAAAATGTCTGGTCTCCTTGGGTAATGATTTGACAACTTTCTAATTTAACAATGTTATCATGTTTTAATACTTGTAAAATTTTTTCTCTTTCAAACTATATTAAATATTTATATTAATAACAATATTTTGATTATTTTTTTTTTATATTTTTTTTTTTAAATTTACCTCCACTCTGTTTTTTAATTCTTTAAAAAACTCTGGATTATATTTAGAATAATAAAAGTTTATTCCTCTGTCATTATTTTTTTTTACTGTTTCACCATTAGTATAGTTTTTTAATAATTGTTCAAAATTATTATTATCCATTTTTTTAAGTGTGAAATTTTAAATGTTTTTTTTTTTTTTTAAAGATTTAAGTTTGTGAATATTTTTTTTTTAAATCCCTATAATTTTTATTTTTTTTTTAAAAATTTTAACAAAAATTGAAATGGATGCAAATGCTTCATATTACTCTTTCACAGTAGAGCATACTGAAGGAATGGTATGTATATTTCAATTATTTTTTTTCTATTCATATTAATTTTATAAATAAAAAAGCAAGTTTTAGAGTCTAGAACACAGAACCTTATTATGCTCTATGGACATGATCAAAAAAATGAAAATAAAGTTGAAAAATTAGAATGGGTGTTACAAAAACAAAAAACTGATTTTACAATTATTAAATATTTCTAATATAATACGATGTGTGAAACTTTGTATTCAAAATATTGTAGAATGGTCACCTTGTTACAATATTATTTTTTATAACTCTGGTAAAATCGAATATGGGAATAAAAATTTAAATTTATATTATAACTATATAATTTTTTTAAAAGCTAAATATTAACATCTATTTATTTTATATATACTACTTAGCTGATGAAACTATTTCACTATGCTCTGAAAATGGAAAAGGTTTATTAGATGAAATTTATCAGGTTATAATGACCGGACTTAATAATAAAAATAATGATGGTATTTTTTTTATAGTTCAAAAAAAAAAAAAAAAGTTTTTGAAACTAATAAATTTTTTTTAGAACAATTTAGTTTTCTAAAAAAACACAATTATCAGAAACTAAATTAAAACTAGTATTTATTATTGATTCCTATGATGGTTCATTAAAAGAGGATGATGCATCAAGATTAAAAATTACCCTTGACTATCTAAAATATGGTTCAAAACCACCAAAATGTTCTAATCGTATGTATAATTTATTTTAAAATGTATATTATCAAAACTAATTTTATTTTTTTTAGCATATGGCCTAATCTCACTTCCAAGACCATTTAATAATGTATCATTAAGAGATTCTTTAAAAAATGATTTTTCTCCACTCAATAAATTTTTAATTAATAGAATTAATAGTGATAAATTTGGTCGAAGATTATTTTATAAAACTGCAAACATTTTAGCATCTGAATTTTGGTCTGAATTTATAAATCATTGTTCAAATTTAGATCCCAATTTTCTTATAAAGGTTGCTGAGCATTTTATCCAAATTGATAATGTAAATAGCCCAATGTTTTATGAAACAATAAAAAAATCAATCACACAAAGAGAATTTAAAATATTATCAAATGGAAATGATTCCAATGTATTTATGTTCAAATTTTAAAAGAAAAAAAATATACATAAAAAATATACATAATTTAGAATAAAAAATATAAAGTTATTTAAATTTTTGTTTGTATTTTATCTTTATTTTATTTTATTTTTATTTTTATTTTATTTATTTTTATATTTTTTATATATTTATATTTATATTTATATTTATATTTATATTTATATTTTATTTATAGTTCTAATAGCATTACTTGTGGATATTGTTGTTGTTGTTATTCCTTCTCTTGTTGAGTTTTTTTTTGATTTTAATTGATTGATTCAAGTTGTAATGTGTCTTTGTTTAAATCTCTATATGAAATAACCATTCTAACTATTTTAAAAACCAAAATGATCATAAACTTTGATTGCTCTTCGTTAGTTGAAATTATTATATTGACTAGATAGTTTTTTTTATTTTTTATTTAAATTTTAAAACTAAAAGTATGAACATTATAAGGATACTGATGTTTACTACTATAATAATATTGATTTACTTTTCTAACAAAGTTTGATATTCTTGTTTCTAATATTTAAATTGATCAACAATTTTATAACCTTTCCACTTTTTTATGTTGATAAAATATCCTAAAACATTGATTCGTTTGCCTACTTTGATCCTAATAGTGATACTAGAATACCCAGTAAATAAATAAAAATATTAAAACAAATAAAAATACAATTCCTCATATTACATTATATGAATAAAAATAAAATAACAAGCAGGCTTTTTATTTTTACAAATTTATTGAATGTGGAACATTATAATATTTAAACGTTGTTTTTTTAATTGATTTCATATTTTTTTTTTATTAAATTTTATTTTTTTATTTTTATTTTTTTATTTTTAATTTTTTTTTAATTTTTTTTTTGCTTAACAAAAAATTTTTAATAAACTTCTTCAATACCATAAAATTTTATAAAAAAATCGTGAATTTAAAAAAAAAATTTAAAAAAAATTTTTAAAAAAAGAATCACCTTTCAGAAGATTCTTTTCAATTTGATAAAATTTATGAATGTAATTATTTAAAACAAAACCATTATTTAAATAATGCTTGGCGAATCTTCTAAAAGCAATAAAATTAAAATTAAAATAAAAAAAAATAAAAATAAAAAAAAAAAAATTAAACTATAAATAATAATTTTTTTTAATCATTTTTTATAAAACAAACAAAAATACAATTATTAAAATATAATAAATATTTATCAAATAAATAAATTCTAATCAATTCTTTTTAAAATGGAAGCTATCAATAAAACTAATAGTTTTATCCTCTATGGTAATACTTCACCAAATGTTTACAAAATCAAATTATTTTTTGAAGAATTATCAAAAATTGGTGTAACTTACGAATATCGTTCAATCGATATTACAAAATGGGAACAATATTCAGATGATTTTAAAAAAGTAATTTAAATATTAATATATAAATATATATATATGTATGCTAATATTATTATTTTTAATAAAATTTAGATTAACCCAAATAAAAAAATTCCAGCTATTATTGACAATACTTTAGAAAAACCACATACAGTTTTTGAATCTGGATCAATTTTAATTTATTTAGCTCAAAAATATAAAAAGTTTTTACCAGATTTCCAAACCAACCCAATCGAAAATAGTGATGTTATTACTTGGACTATTTGGCAGGTTGCAAATCTTGGACCAATTGTAAATATTGTTTTTTATTAATTATTTATATAAATAGTTTTATTTTAATATAATTACTTTTTTGTTTTTTTAAATAGTTTGGACAATTCACCCACTTTTATAAATTTTCACCAAAAGTAGAAGAGTATCCACTTCAAAGATTCCATAAGGATACTCAAAGAATTTTAAGAGTTTTAGACAATAGATTAGCAGTTAGCAAATATATTGGAAGCGATGAGTATTCAATTGCAGATATTTCTAGTGCTGGTTGGTTATTATACCTAAGCCTAATTCCACTTTATGACTGTACTAGAGAATCACATAAAAATATTTATAGATGGTTAGATTTACTTGGTGAAAGAGAATCTGTTAAAAAGATTTTAGCTGATATTCAAGAATCATTCAAATCATTCAATTTCCATGGTATTCGTGCAATTTTTACAAATGATCCTGAGTTAATTAAACTAAATGCTCCATTAGGAATTGAAAATGTTAAGTTACAATTTCCATAAATATAATTAGTTTATAAAACAAATTATCATTAAATCTAAAATAAATAAGATAGAATAAAACAAAATTATTTAAAATAAAATACAAAGCATGAAATTTTAAAATTAGTTTATAATTTTTATTTGTTTTAGATTTTTTTTGATTTTTTTTTTTTGTATATAAACATTCTTTTTAAAACTAACAAAGAGCAATCAAAGTTTTGATTATTTTGGTTTTTAAAATAGTTAGAATGGTTATTTCATATAGAGATTTTAACAAAGACATTACAACTTGAATCAATCAATTAAAATTAAAAAAAACTCAAGAGAAGGAATAACAACAACAACAATAAATCCACAAGAAATGTTATTAGAACTATAAATAAAATATAAATATAAATATAAATATAAATATAAATATAAATATATAAAAAATATAAAAATAAATAAAATAAAAATAAAAATAAAATAAAATAAAGATAAAATACAAACAAAAATTTAAATAACTTTATATTTTTATTTTTATATTCAAAATTATGTATATTTTTTATGAGCAGTTTTTCTTTTAAAATTTGAACATAAATACATTGGAATCATTCCCATTTGATAATATTTTAAATTCTCTTTGTGTGATTGATTTTTTTATTATTTCATAAAACATTGGGCTATTTGCATTATCAATTTTAAAATGTTCAGCAACCTTTATAAGAAAATTGGGATCTAAATTTGAACAATGCTTAATAAATTCATACCAAAATTCAGATGCTAAAATGTTTGCTGTTTTATAAAATAATCTTTTACCAAATTTATCACTATTAATTCTATTAATTAAAAATTTATTGAGTGGAGAAAAATCTTTTTCAAAAGAATCTTTTAATGATACATTATTAAATGGTCTTGGAAGTGTCATTATGCCATATGCTAAAAAAAATAAAAAAAAATAAAATTAGTTTTGATAATTTACATTTCAAAATAAATTATACATACGATGTGAACATTTTGGTAGTTTTGAACCATATTTTAGATAGTCAAGGGTAATTTTTAATCTTGATGCATCATCTTCTTTTAATGAACCATCATAGGAATCAATAATAAATACTAGTTTTAATTTAGTTTCTGATAATTGTTCTATAAAAAAATTTTATTAGTTTAGAAAACTTATTATTTTTTTTTTTTAAACTATAAAATAAATACCATCATTATTTTTATTAATAAGTCCGGACATTATAACCTTATAAATTTCATCTAATGAAACTTTTCCATTTTCAGAGCATAATGAAATAGTTTCATCTAAGTAATATTACAATATAAAAAGATGTTAATATTTGGTTATTAAAAAATTTATATAGTTATAAAATTAATTAAATTACCTTCATATTGAATTTTATCAGAATAATAAAAAATAATATTGCAATAGGATGACCATTCTACACTATTTTTAATATAAAATTTCACACATTTCATTATATTAGAAAGACGTAATTTAAAAATTGTAAAATCAGAATTTTGTAACTTCTTTTCTAATATATCTACTTTTTTTTCATTTTCTTTACCATTTCCGTATAAAAAAATAAGGTTTTGTGTTCTATCATCTAAAATTTGCTTTTTTATAAATTAATTAATATGAATAGAAAAAAAATAATTGAAATATACATACCTTTCCTTCAGAAAGCTCTATTGTGAAAGAGTCACATGAAGTTTTTGCATCGTTCATTTTAATTAGATCTATGAAGCCATCTGTTCCAGAAATTAAATCAAAAGTTTTATCAGACACAACTTGTTGTGATTCTGTTGTATTTACTGAATAAGAATTTGAATTGTCATAAAATACACTATGGTTTTTTAAATCTTTAAGAATTGTTCCATTTAGATTTCTTTCATTTTTGCAACAATTAATAAAATCATTAAATTTTTCACCAAATATATTGTTTGGTATTTTATCTTTGAATTCTTCTAACAAATTACCAAAATCCTTGATGTCAGTATATGTATTTGATTGCTTCTCTTTTCCTGTTCTACTGAGAATGATTGGAACACCAAAATTTATTAAGGTTATGTTATTATCACTGTCAATCATTACATTATCACTACAAATACCACAGTGTAAAGCTTTCCTTTCTTTTAGATATTGTAAGACATCGATGAATTGATTTATGATTTTTAAAATAGCCTTTCTTTTAAATTTTAATGTGTTTTCCAATTTTTTTTTAATTTTACAAGAGTCTTGAACAAATTTGGTTACAATATAGAATAATGGTAGGCTATCTGGGGAATAGATTTTTTTTTTTATATATGAATTTAACAATGTTTGGATGATCTAATAGTTGTATAATTTTTTCACTTTTATACTATATTAAAATAATATTTAAGTTAGTTTTTATTTTTTTTAAATCTTTTTTTTTTAAATTTACCTGAAATTTGTTTGTTAATTCTTTAATAATAAACTCTGGATTATATCTAGAATAATAAAACATTATTCCTATGCCATTCCTTTTGATTGTTTCACCTGTTGTATAATTTTTTAATAATAATTGTTCAAAATTATTATTGTCTATTTTTATAGATTCTTTTAAAATATTTTGTGATTCTATTATATTTACTGAATTTGAGGTTTCATAAAATACACTATGTCTTTTTAAAAAATTTAGATTTTTTTCTTTTTTGCAACAATGAATAAAATCTTCAAATTTTTCAGCTGATATATTGTTTGGTATTTTATCTTTGAATTCTTCTAACAAATCACCTAAATCTCTGATGTCTATAAATGAATTGATTATTTTCTCTTTGCCTGTTCTACTATAAATGAGTAAATGATTTTTTTTTTTTTTATGTGGATTATCAAATTCCTTTGAAAACCCAAAATCTATTAGGGTTATTTTATTATCGCCGTCTATCATTATATTATCACTACAAATATCGCAGTGTAAAACTTCACATTCTTTTAGATATTCTAAGACATCGATGAATTGTTTTATGATTTTTAATATATCTAGTCTATTAAATTTTGATGTGTTTTTCAATTTTTCTTTAATAGTGCATGAGTTTTGAACAAATTTGGTCACAATATAGAATAATCTTTGGCCATTTGGGGAAAGGATTTCTTCGCTATATTCGTGTTCAACAATGTTTGGATGATTTAATAGTTGTATAACTCTTTCTCTATTTGACTTTATTTATATAATAATGATAATTGAGTTTTTTTTATTATTATTTTGTATATTTATATATATATTTTTTATACTTACCTCCTCTTCATTTGTTAATTCTTTTATAAAAAAATCTGGATTAGATTTAGAATAATAAAACTTTTTTCCGTTAACTTTCTTTTTTGTTACATATTCACCAGGAATATATTTTTTTAAATTATTATTATCCATTTCTATTAATTTTAATTAAGAGTTTTTTTTTTTTGAAAAAAAAAAAAATTGTATTTTTTTTAAAGATTTAAGTTTTAAAATTGAATTTTTTTAAAAATTTTTTTTTTTTTTTTATTTTTTTTTTAAGATATGTTTTGAAAAAAAAAAAAAATTATTATTATTATTTTTGTTTTTTTTTTTTTATTTTTTTTTTAAGATATGTTTTGAAAAAGCATCAAATTTTTTTTTTTTTTATTATTAAAATTTTAACAGAAATAGAAATGGAATCACATATTTTTTCTAAAACCCACACAGAGGAGTGCTCTGAAAAAATGGTATGTATTTTTCAATTATTTTTTCTATTCATATTAATTAATTAATTTAATAAAAAAGCAAATTCTGAATGCAAGAACAAAAAACCTTTTTTTTTTATACGGAAATGGTTACCAAAATGAAGAAAAAGTAAAAGCAGTTGCAACCATGTTACAAAATAAAAATACCGATTTTAAAATATTAAATTATTCTAATATTATGACTTGTGTGAATCTTTTTATTAAAAGTCGTGTAGAATGGTCACCTTGTTACAATATTATTTTTTATTACTCTGGTAAAATTCAATATGGAGGTAATTTAATTAATTTTAAAAACTTTATAAATTTTTTACAAACAAGATATTAACATCTATTTATATTCTAAATCACCTAGATGATGAAACTATTTCACTATGCTCTGTTGATAAAACAAGTTCTTTAGATGATATTTATTTGAATATAAAAGCAGAACTTGCTGATAAAAATAATGATGGTATTTATTTTATAGTTCATTAAAAAAAAGATTTCGAAACTAATAAATTTTATTTAGAACAATTATCAGAAACTAAATTAAAACTAATATTTATCATTGATTCATATGATGGTTCATTAAAAGAGGATGATAATTTAAGATATAAAATTACCCTTAACTATCTTAAGAATGGTTCAAAACTACCAAAATGTTCATATCGTATGTATAATTTATCTTAAAATTTTATATTATCAAAAATAATCTCAAAATAAATTAAATTTTTTTTTTTTTTAGCATATGGCGTAATGACACTTCCAAGACCATTTAATAATGTATCAATAAGAGATTCTATTGAAAATAATCATTTAAAATTATCTCCATTCACAAATTTTTTAATAAATAGAATTAATAGTATTGAATTTGGTAGTAGAATAATTTTTAATACTGCAAACATTTTAGCATCAGAATTTTGGTCCGAGTTTATAGAAAGTTGTACAAATTCTGACCCCAGTTTTCTTATAAAGGTTGGTGAAGAATTTATAGATATTCATGATAGAAATGACTCAGAACTTAATGAAATAATAAATCAATCAATCAAAAACAGAGAGTTTAAAATATTATCAAGCGGAAACGATCCAAGTGTATTTAATATCAAATTTTAAAAGAAAAAATAAAACCACATTAATAAATATAATTTTTACATAATTTTAGTGATTAAAAATTATCGTTATCTTCAGTCTTTACCATTAGCGAATTCATTTAAAAATTTTTAGAAATATTTCTCTTTTTTTAAATGGATAAAAATAAATAATTTTTATTAAAAAAAAGTTGAAAAAGATCTTTTTTTTTTTTGAAAATGGATATTGAACACTCAAACGATGATGATAATGATAATTTTCGATGTCTATTTTAAAACTTTTAGATTTTATTATATTAACTTAAAACATTCTTTATTAACAAATTATTTTTTCAAAACTATTCTTGGCTCTTTTTGTAATATAGTGGTTTCTTGTTTTTCATTTGTAACGGTCCAGTGTTGTCTATATTTTAAATAGGTTGAAGTACCATTTGCTGTTTGTTGAGTATATATTCCATGATGTTTATTACATTGACTATAATCATTATTGAAAAAAGAATCTCTATAAGATCTTCTTTCACATAAACAAAATCCATTGGTTCTGTTTTTACATTCACAAGCAAGTGCTCTTTTAAAAAGACCTTCAGTAATAGATCTTAAGTTTTTATGACCACAACATGGACATTGTTGTTCCATTGATCCACCAATAATCGAAGCAACACCATTCCTATCTAAGTTTATGCTTTGACCAATTAGATCTATGAAACCATCTGTTCCAGTAAAATGACTGTATTCACCACTAACATTATTATTGTGATAAAAATTTGGTGAAATTTCAATACAGTGTGGTGGTAATTGAGTAGTTGGGTTTGTTTGCTGAGGGGGTGTTTCCGTAGATACTGGAACAGAGACTGGATCAGAGACTGGAATAGAGACCAAGGCAGAGACTGGAGTAGATACAGTAGTAGAGGATTGACCAGAAATCTGCGGTGATTCTGTTGTATTTACTGAAAATGAATATTCATTTGAAATATCATGAAATAAATTATGGTTTCTTAAATTATTTAGATTTGTTCCATTTTTGCAACATTTAATAAAATCATTAAATTTTTCAGCTGATATATTGTTTGGTATTTTATCTTTGAATTCTAATAACAAAAGACCTAAATCTTTGATGTCAATATATGCATTTAATTCTTTCTCTACCCCTTTTCTACTAAGAATGATTGAACGAGTTGTTTTTTTTTCATTTGGTTTAAAATATTCCATCGAAACCCCAAAATCAATTAATGTTATGTTATTATCACTGTCAATCATTACATTATCACTACAAATATCACAGTGTAAGACATCACTCTCTTTTAAATATTCTAAGATATCGATGAATTGATTAATGATTTTGATAATAGCTTTTCTTTTAAATTTTGATGTTTTTTCCAATTTTTCTTTAATTGTACATGAGTCTTGAACAAATTTGGTTACAATATAGAACAATGGTTTGCTATCTGAAGAAAATATTTCTTTGTTATCTTCGAATTTAACAATGTTAGGATGATCTAATAGTTGTATAATATTTTCTCTATTTGACTATATTAAAATAATTAATATAAATATTTAAGTTACTCTTTTTTATTAATTTTTTTTTTTTTAAAATTACCTCTAATTCGTTAGTTAATTCTTTAATAAAAAACTCTGGATTATTTTTAGAATAATAAAATGTTATTCCTCTGTCATTCTTTTTGGTTACATATTCACCTTTAGTATAATTTTTTAATAATTGTTCAAAATTATCCATTTTTATTATTATTGATGTGTGAAAAATAAATTTTTTTCTTTTTATTTTTTTAAAGATTTAAGTTTATATATTTTTAAGTTAATATATTTTTAAGTTTTGGGTTATTTTTAAAAAAAAAAAATTTAATTTTTTATTTTTTAAATTTTTTTATTTTAAATTTTTTATTTTAAATTTTTTTATTTTTAATTTTTCTTTTTTAAAATATTAACAGAAATGGAAATGGGTGATTCAAAAGCTTTTTCTTACACTCACACAGTAGAGTATACAAGAGGAGAGGTATGTATATTTCAATTATTTATTTATTAATTCATACTAATTAATTATATAAAAAAGCAAATTTTAAATGATAGAACACAAAAACTTATTTTGCTATACGGAAATGGTACAGAAACTGAGGATAAATTAGGGAAATTTAAAAAGAAAATAGAAGAAAGGTTAGAACAAAATAATAATAATAATAATAATAATAATAATAATAATAATAATAATAATAATAATAATAATAATAATAATAATAATAATAATAATAATAATAATAATAATAATAATAATAATAACTTAAATAATATAAATAATAATATTGATAATAAAGATATCGAGGATTTTGATAATAATAATAATTATAAAGTTTATAGTTTTAATAAGGTAAATGTAATGACCTGTGTGAAACTTTTTATTAGAAATATTGTAAAATGGTCACCTTGTTACAATATTATTTTTTATTTCTCAGGTAAAATTGAGTATGAAGGTAATTTTTTAATTTTAAATACTTAATTTTTAAAAACAAGATATTAATATCTATTTATATTTTATATTAATTAGTTGATGAAACTATTTCATTATGCTCTAAAAAGGATCTTATACCTATAAAAGATTCTTTAGATGAAATTTATAGGGTTATAATGGCCGGACTTATAAATAAAAATAATGATGGTATTTATTTTAGAGTTAAAAAAAAGAAAAGTTTTCGAAACTAATAAATTTTTTTTTAGATCAATTATCAGAAACTAAACTAAAATTAATATTTATAATTGATACTTATGATGGTTCATTAAAAGAGGATAATGCATTAAGATTAAAAATTACCCGTGATTATCTAATGTATGGTTCAAAACTACCAAAATGCTCACATCGTATGTATAATTTATTGTAAAATTTTATATTATAAAACTAATTGAAAATTTTTTAGCATATGGAATAATTACACTTCCAAGACCATTTAATAATGTATCATTTAGAAATTATTTAAATGATGATTTTTCTCCATTCACAAATTTTTTAATAAATAGAATTAACAGTACTGAATTTTGTAGAAGAGATATTTATAAAACTGCTAACATTTTAGCATCAGATTTTTGGACTGAATTTATAAATCATTGTTCAAATTTAGATGGCAGTTTTCTTGTAGAGATTGCTAAAGATTATATGCAAATTGATAATAGGAGCGACCCAAACAAAAATGAAAAAATAAAAAAATCTATCCAAAATAGAGAGTTTAAAATATTATCAAATGGGAATGATTCAAGTGTATTTAATATCAAATTTTAAAGAAAAAATAAAATATAAAGTTTTATAAATATTTTTGTTTGTATTTATTTTATTTTTATTTTATTTATATTTATAAAATTATTTTATTTTATTTTATTTTATTTATAGTTCTAATAACATTTCTTTTTGAGATAACAAATAAGGCAAATTTAATCTTTTATTAAAGAAATTTAATAATGGGACGTAAGATTGATCGATATTTGCAATATTATAACAAAGGTTAGTATTGTCATTAATATCATTTAACATTTTATAAACCAATGTGGTTGCTATATTTTGATTTCTAAAATTTGGATGGATTAATATTTGTCTAATTCTTTTTGAACTTGTGTGTATTGAAACCAAACCAACTATAATCTCATTACCTGTTACTTGATCCTTGCCATAAGCTACCCAAATTTCATTAAGTTTTTGTTCGAATTCTCTTTTAATACAATCGATTGAGTTTGAATATGAAGGTTTACATTCGGAATATTGATTTACAAAATCAATTAAGTCTTGTGGAAGTTGTTGTTCCTCTTGTTGGGCTTTTTTTATTTTAATTGATTGATTCAAGTATTGTTGTAATGTGTCTTTCTTTAAATCTCCTCTATATGAACTAACCATTCTAACTGTTTTATAACCACAACGATCATAGACTTTGATTGCTCTTTCGTTAGTGGAAATTACTTCTAATATTACACTTTTAATACCTTGCTCCCTAAATAGTGGTATCATCATTTTATATTGTTCATCTACCAATCTTTTACTACGGGAATTTGGGACTACACCAGTTGCACTATTATATAATTGGGTTGGTTTATCGTCGTTATCTACTGCATGCAAAATAAATGCTACCAATGATCCATCTTGATCGAAAACACCACAGGAATGTTTTGATGATACATTTTCGCCTTTAATTTTTTGAATTAATGAATCTTCAGTAATAACAAGTTTAACTACATAGTCACTGAATGCTTCATTGAATGTTTCTGTTATTTGTTTTAAATTAAAATTATTATTTAAAAATTTAATATTCATTTTTATAATTTATGTTTTTTTTTTTTTTTTCAAAACCTCCTTTTTTAAAAAATTTTTCATAATTTTAAAAAAAAATTAAAAAATATTAAATATTTTTTTTTCTTTTTTTTTTTTTATCTTTTTTTTTTTTTTTTTAAATCAAAAACCACAATGGCATCAACTAAAAGAAATAAAAAAATAATAATAACAAATGAAGATGACGATATTGACAATGAAATAAATAATAAAAATAAATCAGATGAATATAAAGAATATTATAAATTAAAAGAAAGAATCGAAAAATTAGCCAAAATAAATAACGTTAATCTCGAAACCTATGTGCCACCATCAAAATTAAAAATAAAAATTTTAGATGATTTAATAATCAAATATAAAACAATAGGTGAAAGACCAAAAATACCATCAGTACCAGCTTCAACATCAGCTTCAATATCAACACAGACACCAACACCAACACCATCAACACCAGATAATAGCAATAAAAATGTAACAATAGATATTAATAATAATAATAAAACTAAAAAAGAAGATAATGAAGATGTTTATAAGACTCCAATTAATAAAAAAGATGATGACCATAGTGATAGCGAGAGTGAAAATGAAGAAAAAGAAATATATAAAACACCAATCAATAAAAAAGGCAAACGTCTATCTAGTCATTTGAAATCCCTAAAGAGACTAAGTTCTAGTAATCAAATTTTAGACTATCTTTCAAACTCAACACTTTCAGGTGAACAGGTAATTAATAAAACTCCAGAACCACAGAAAAAAATATCAGCTAATGAAACTCTCAATAGAATTTTAGAAGAAGATGATGAAGATGTCGAATTGATTATTTTAAACTCATCTAAAAAGAAAAACAGAATGAATAATAAATATTTTTCAAATCTTGAAGAAGAGGAGGAAGAGCAGGAAAAACAAACAGTAAATTTAGCAGATAAATTTGTAGAGAAACAAGTGAATGATACACCAACTAAAGAAGAGAAAATAGAAACACCAAAAAAGAAAGAAGAAAAAGAAGAAAAAGAAAAAGAAAATAAAGTTTTAGAACTTCTATCAAAAACAACAATTACCCCAAAAACTGAAAAAAAACTATCAAAAGAATCAAATGAACAACCAAAAACAACCTCAAACACATCAACTACACCAAAAACTTCAATATTAACACCATCATCAACAACTTCAACATCTCTATCAAAAACATCAACGACATCAGCATCGGCACCAACCCCATCAGCATCAAAAGTAACGAATCCTATCAACACCACATCAACAAATAAACCTTCATCACCAACAAAACCAAATGCAAATACCACCACTACTACGACTACAACAACAACAACAACAACAACAACAACAAATAAATCTACAGAAATCTCTTCTTCAACCTCTCCAACAACATTAAAAAAAGGTGACTCAAATATGAAAACATTAATCAAAGAGTTTAGATTAACAAGCTTAGGTGTAAACACTGATAACAACAATAATAATAATGAAACAATCATTAAAGACCCATCATCATCAGAATTTATTAACTTTAGCCAAGCAAAATCATTCTATCCAATTGAACCAAATAATGATAAATATAACGAATCAATGCTATGCTCACCATTAAATTTAGAAACTGCACATTTACCTGGGGTTAAAGAATTCTTTGAAAGAGATAAAAAGATTCATGCAATTAGTTATTTTAAGCGATATAACCGTACTATATTTCAAAATAGATTCTCAGATGATATGTTGCAATGGAGCGATGAACACCTTTCAACACCAGGCAAAACAACCATCACCAAAAAGAATGACTCAAATTTTGCAAAGATTACCCTATCGACCAATCTTGTAAACTCTATCGAAACCTTAGCCAATGTTTTATGCCATGAAATGTGTCATGCTGCAACATGGGTATTTGATAACTCTAAAAAAGCACATGGAGCCGAATTCAAATTTTGGGTTAGAATTGCACAATCACAATATCCAGAGCTATCAATTGATATGTGCGATAACTTTAAATCAACATTTGCCTATCATTTCAAATGTCAATCTAAGACCTGTGACGTTAGTTTTGGAAGAAGCACCCCTCCAGAAGAAAAGCTATATTGTGGTAAATGTAAATCTCCAATTGTACCAGTAGAAAAAGTTGAAACAGAATCTAGATTCGATAAATTCTTTAAAGACCTATTACCAGAAACTCAAAAAAAACACCCAAATTTAAGTTTAGATGAAATTAAATCAATTATTCAACTAAAATGGAGAAACTATCAAGTCGAACAAGAAAAATTAAAGAAAAAAGAAAAATTATTTATACCCCAAAACGATTCATTAAATAATAACAATAATAATAATAACACAGATAATAACAATAATAGCAATAATAATAAGACTAGTATTTTAACTCCTTCAAAAATTAATATAGGCTCAGCTGCCAAACCAAAAGCAGCATCTGCCAAAACCACTAAATCAAAAATGATTCCAATTCCTATCGAAGATTTACCACCAATTCCATCATCTTCAACTTCAAAAAAGCCAACTTCTAAAAAATAACAATAATAAAGAAATGACTATAAAAATAAAAGTTAAAAGATTTATTTTTTTAAAATTCTATTATTTTAAAAACTAAAAACCCTATTTGCTTTTTTTTTTTTTTCGTTTATTTCTTTTTAATTAGGTGATTACCAATATTTTATATATGAATGATTGAAACACCTATTATCTTTATTAATTTTTTAAGTACAGTAAGATGTAATGAAATTTCCATCTTTTGATTGTAAATCATAATAATTTCCTGAAGTACTTGAAACCTTTACTTCTTTATTTGAAAATGGTTGTTTTATTTCATTCTCTTTTTCGAAATTAATATTGATGCTAAGACCTGATCCACTTCCGCTTCCGCTTCCACTGCCACTACCTGTAGTACTTGATGCACCAGTACCGCTATAATCACCAGCCTATTTATTAATATAATAAAAAAAAATTATTAATATATATATAGCTTTTATTGTTATTAATAAACTTACACCTGTACCACCAGAAAGTTCACTTGAAGTGTTAAAGAATGGATGAGTATGTTCGCAATTAAATAATTTTGGAACATCAACACAATTACCCGAAAAACACTGACTAGCATATGGCTTGTTATTTTGTTTATCACAATACCAAGTCATTTCGATACCAGTTTGTTGATCGGCAGTTTGGGTATTATTAGTGAAATATTGAATAATTTCGATATTATCATCTGAACATTCACCATTACCCATAAATTGTTGAACGAGCATACCATCTACAGTTGTTGGGTAATATGGTTCGGATGTAACTGAAATCATATAATAAGTAGCTGGTACTGGCCAACGATATACATCAAAAACACTTTGACCATTACCTTGATAACAAGATCCTGTAACTGCTTTATTTAATGGTAATCCTTGATAGTAGCATTTAGTTGAACCTTGTGCTCTTGGGAATTGAGTCCATTGAACTAACTGATCGTTATTTTTACTAACTACTTGATAGGAGTATACCATATCAATTGAAAAACAAATACTATCCATAATACTATATCCTAAACCATCGGGTTGACCAGAACATTGTGCATTATTATATGGAATAAAATTTATAAATTTACTAGAAATAAATTTAATATTTAAAATTATTAATAAAATAACTATTAATTTCATTTTTGGTGTGTGGGGTGTTATTTGTTTTAAAATTACAAAAACTATGGAAAAAAAAAAAAAACAATGAGAAAAAAAAAATCCTACAAAAAAATCTAATTATTTGAAAAAAAAAATCATAAAAAAAAAATTAAAAAAAAAAAAAAAAAAAATCAATACCACCTTGATCCGATTCCAAATTTGTTTGTAAAAAAAAACAAATAAATACCTATATAATTCTGCTTCTGATTAATAAAAAAAATAAAAAAAAAAAAAATTTATTTTTTTTTTTTATTTTTTTAATTTTTAATTAATTTTTAATTTTTTATTTTTACATATTCACAAAATGTCAAATAATATTGAAAAGAAATATCCTGTACCTCCATTTTCATTAGAAAGTGCTATCGAAAAGGTAAGAAAAGCAGAAGATGCATGGAATAGTAGAGACCCCGAATTAGTTTCAAAGGCATATTCAATAGATTCAAAATGGAGAAATCGTAATGAATTTATCAATGGTAGAGAAGAAATTGCTCAGTTTTTAACAAGAAAATGGAAAAAAGAAAGTGAATATCGTTTAATTAAAGAAATTTGGGTACATGGGGATTATAAAATAGCAGTTAGATTCGCATATGAATGGAAAGATCAAGAAACTCAAAAATATTATCGTAGCTATGGTAATGAAAATTGGAAATTTAATGACCAAGGTTTAATGATTGAAAGACATGCCAGTATTAACGATTTGGAAATAACTGAAGATCAACGTAAATTTAAATGGCCCCAAGGTAGAAGACCAGACGATCATCCAGGATTAACAGAACTAGGTTTATAAAAAATAAAATAAAATAAAATAAAAAATAAAAAAAAGATAATAATATTATATTTTCCCAAACTAAAAACAATTTTACTTTTATTTTATTAATATAAATTTTAAAAAAAAAAAAAAATTTAAATTTCATCCGAGGAAGAATTTAAACCATTATTATTTGGATATAAATTAAAACTATTATTTTGATTACTATTTTGATTTAAACTATCTAGAGCTAATAAATCATTAAAGTCGTTATAATGATTTAAATTTTTAATACTACTATTATTGGTATTGGTATTGGTATTGGTATTAGTGTTACTATTGATATTGTTAAAACTTCCGGCGCTGTTAATACCAAAGTTATAATTTAAACCGAGGGAAGATGGTTGGTCAAATAAATGATTTGCCAAAACAGTATTTTGTGGTTGAATGTGTTGCTGAATTTGTTGTTGGATTTGTTGTTGGATTTGTTGCTGGATTTGTTGTTGAATTTGTTGTTGAATTTGCTGTTGAATTTGTTGTTGAATTTGTTGTTGAATTTGATTAGGACTATTTACAGAGTTGTTATTGTTGAATAACTGTGGTAAATTTTTATTATAAGTATTACCATTGATGTTGTTGTTGTTGTTGCTAATATAGTTGTAATTAATATTACCCATGTTACTATTGTTCATAGTACCCATATTTATATTATTACTATTACTATTATTACTATTACTATTATTTATATTTTGAAGAATTTGATTCATATCAATATTTGGATTCTTCTTTAAAAGCTCTTGAATAAAATTTGCAATATCAATATTTGTTAAATTTGTTAAAATATTTTGATTTTCACTTTGTGGTTGTAGTTGTAGGGGTGTTTGTAGTTGTGGTTGTAGTTGTGGTGGAGATAAAGGTAACTGGTATATTTGTGGTGACTGTTGGTGGGTAAAACCAATGCCATTACTACTACTGGGTATTGTATTGCCAAACTGATAGTTGTTTAAAGCATTAATATTGCTGTTGTTGCTATTAAGTGCATTTGTATTGAGACCAAAACCATTGTTATTAAATGAAATATTATTTAAAATATTATGAGGATTATTCATATCGCTTATAACTACATTTGAACTATTATTAAAACCAATTACATTATTGGCCATTAAACTATTACCTTTTATAAAATCGTCATCATTATTATAAATATTATTATTGTTATTATTGTTAATAGTATTATTATTGTTATTATTATTACTATTGTTATTATTATTACTATTGTTATTATTATTACTATTGTTTTGACTGTTATTATTTATATTATTTAAATTAAAACTATGATTTAAATTGGAGTTTTGATTTGATAATAATAAATTTGAACCATTTAAACTATTAATTAAGGTCTTTGGGGTCAATGAATAAAGCTTTATGTAACGATCTTGGCAATATTTAATTTCATTTTTAAAACCTAGTTGATGGGATGACTCTGATGATTTATTTATAAAACCAAGGGATTTCTTTAGCATATTAAATGATTGTTGTTGATTAGAACCAAATAATAAAAATGACTTTGATAAACACAAATCTGCCCATGTAAAGTATAAATGAATTTGTGTTCTTTGTGTAAACGAATAGTTTTTGATATTTGGTATTCTTTATAAAAAAAAAAAAAAATTAAAAAAAAAAATTAGTATTTGGATAAAAAAAAAAATTAATATTTAAATTATACCAATCTTACTTTAATAAATATTCTTCGGCGTGCAATATATCAGGCATAGTTAGATTTTGGGTACTTAAAATAGCTTGGGTAATTCTAATGTTTGATCTGTAGGCACCATTTATACTTCTAGGGTTTGGGGTGGATGATGTAGCACTTTTATAATCAATTGAATAATGGTTAGATGCAAGTTGAAGTTTTTCAATTACCAAATCTCTTTGTTGGGTGTATTCATTGGGCTTTACCTTTTTATTTAGCAATATATCTATAGTTTGATTTAAAAATTAATAATTTTGAAATTAAAAAATAAAATATTTAAAAAAAAAAAAAAAGTAAACTTACCGTAGTCATGGGCAGCTTTATTGAAATAGTATTGGCCAATATGAAGCGATCCCATTTTAATTTTATTAAATAAAAAGTCGCATGTGTCCAAATTTAATTTTGAAGCAGAGTAGTTTTTTTGAATTCTAAAAATTGCTGACTTTAAATAACTAACTTTAAATCTATAATATGTTATAAAAAAAAATTAATAATATATTTTAAAAAAATAAAAATAAAAAAACAAATGAATACTAACAAATTTTCAGGTGAGGATGATAGTTCTAATGCCTTATCTAATAAATTATGAGCATGTATAAAATCACCGGTATAAGTTAAACCAATTGATTGTTCGATTAAAAGCTCTGATAGAATTTCATGATTATTTTCATACTTGGCAGAGTAATAACTTAAAATATTTTCTAAATCGGACCATCTTGCACCAGTTTCTTGAAGAGTGGAAATATAATTGAACAAAGACTCCCTGGGTCTAAAATAAATATCACTGATTGACGATGGATTTTTATTTGGCGATGAGGACGATGGAGACGAAAGAGATTGTGGTGATTCTTTGAAAGAGGGTGGCGATGAAGGAGGATCATCACTTTCTTCTTTAGGCGATGAGGATGGATCTTTAGAATCTTTTTTAATTTTTGTTGGGCAACCATAGAAATACAACTTGAAAGTGAATGAAAAATCTTTGAAAACTAATTGTTCAGCAGTCGGGATTGGTGGGAGCTCGACAGAGCAGTTTAAAAAATAGAAACCAGTTTTCTTGATACGAATTGGACCAAATATAGCTTCACCATTCTTCATCTCTGCCTCAAGACAATTGAATTGATTTGGCGCGTACTCTTCAATATTTAATTTATTAACCTTTCTTGTAAACGATGATGGAATCCAATATGGAGCAGTAGGTTTTAGTGAGAATTTTAAACTTGGATGTTCTTTAAATAAAACATTTAAATTGTCTGCTTTATATAAAAATACACCAATTTTTTGATTCTTTTTCGCGGCATAATAGGTTGGGGTCACCATAAAAGAATAATCTGAATTCTTTAATAAACTATTTGGTGAATAAGATGGAAATAAATTTTTTTCTTCATTATTATAATTTGTTTTTTTATTATTTTTATTATTTTTTTTATTAATGTCAATATTTTCAATATTATTATTGTTATAATTATTATTATTATTATTATTAATATTACTATTAATATTAATGTTATTGTTAATATTATTATTATTATTAATACTATCACTATCAATATCACTATTTATATTATTAATACTATCATCAACTTTAAATAAAACAATTTCTTCGTTATTTAATTCATTTAAATCGTTTATATTATTATTGATGTTAGTTTTATCATCGTCATTACTATTATTACAATTATCTATATTACTATTATTATCATTTACATTGATATCTGAAAAAAACATTTGATTAGAATTTAGTAGTTTTATATTTGCAGTTGATGCAAACGAGGTTGGAATAATTGGTGGATCTATTGAAAAATTATTATTATTATTATTATTATTTACAGGTGTTTCTATAGAACTATTATAATTATAATTATTATTGTTATTATTATTATTATAATAAATTTGACTATAATTTATTAAATTATTGCTAATATAGTTTTTAAAAGTGGTTAAAGGGTTTTCTGAATTATTAATTAAAAAATCATTATCGTTGCTAACTAATGTATTATTATTACTATTTAACAAAAATTCATTAAACGATATACTACTATTATTTATATCACTATTATTTTTTTTAGTTTCGTTATTATTATTACAATTACTATTTGTATCGTCTGTAGAATTACTATTAATAATGATGTTGCTGTTTAACGAAAAATTATTATTATTTAAGATTGTTGAAGAAAAAATTCCATCATTTAAATCCATTTTTTTATAATTAGCTGGGAAAAGGATGCAAATTATGATGTGGGAAATTTGCTAACACGAACACTTTAAAAAAGAAAATTAGAAATTAAAAAAAAATTAAAAAAAATACATATATGTGTATCCAATGGTAATGTTGTGTTATAAAGATGAAAAAGAAAAATAAAAAAAAAATAAAAAAAAATAAAATAATATGTGGGTGTTTGATAGAAATTATTGAGTATTGTGATTTTTCTGCTTTAAAAAAAAAAAAAATCAATGAAAATTTTAAAAAAATAAAAAAAAAAAATAAAAAAAAAAATAAAATTTAAAATAAAAAAAAAAAAAAAAAGATTTTTTTAGAGTGACGTCAAAAAATTAAAAAAATTTCTGACCTTAAAATCCTTATTTGTTTTTATAGAGTTTTTTTTTTTCGTGCAGTGACATCACTTTTTTTTTTTTTGATTAATTTTTCGTAAACAATAAAAAAAACTTAAAATATAAAAAAACAATAAAAAAAGAGAAAGCTCCCCACCCATATATTTTTTTTTTTTTAAAAAACCGATTATAATAAAAATTTTATCAAATTTCATATTTTAAAAATAAAAAATAGTTCAACACCATGAAAATTAATTATAAATATTATAATTTTCAATTCAATATTATTATTATTTAAATTTTTTGAATATTGGAGCTTTAGATTATGTGTTGCATTATTTGTAAGGGTTTTATATTCTTGGAACCCTGGAATAAAGAAAATCTAAAAATTTATCAATCTTTAGGATATAAATGATTCTGGAAAATAAATAATATTTTGTATTGTATTATGTACGTAATATTGGCCATTAGTTTGGAATTTTTTTTAAAAGATATATTCACAAAATATTTACCTTATTAATTAATTGGATAGATCTTTATTTGATTATGGTTTTTATTCTTTTAATATTCTAATTAAAGTTTTGACAACAAATACAATAATGACTAGTTTTCAAAAGAATAGCCATCGTTTATCCTGATACAGAGTCAAAGTTTTAAATAAGAGGGTATAAAAACAATTCTTGCATTGAAAGAGGATAAATAAAATTTTTAAATAACAAAATCCTACTTATTGAGATACTTTTGATTACAATAAATGCATATAACATTGACTGATATGGCATAAAGAGTTTTAATATAAACTTTAATATCAAAATATACTAAATGAATTAGGCAATGTATTGTATGTAGGACATCTGAATTATCTTGAGTGTTATCCTCATTTAAAGAAAATTATTTCCTCACTATTTTCCATCGATATTATTCTTAGTAATTTTACAATTATATTTTTATTTGTTTTTTTTTAAACATTGTTTAAATATTTTATTTATTTTTTATAATTTTTATTTTTTTTAATTTTTTATTTTTTTTTTAATTTTTTAATTTTTTTTAATTTTTGGTGAATTCACACAAACATAGACCCAATAAAACGTTTATTAGTGGATTGATTGAAATTAAAAAACAAAAGAAAAAACCAATACAAATAATAAAATTAAAAAAAGTTATTCGGTTCCTGCACTATTAAAATAAAAAATTATTATTAAATCAATCAATTTTCATATATTTTTTTTCATTTTTTTTTTTATTTTTTTATTTTTTTTTTATTTTTTTTTTTAAATTTTGTTTTGAAAAATTTTTATTTTTTTTTATTTTTTTTTTTTAATTAAAAATTTTGGATTAATTAAAAATAAAATAAAAAAAAAGAGATAATGAATTTAAATGTTTACGAAGGTACAAAAGCAGTAAGAAAAGTTAAAAGCCTTGAAGAAGAGGCACAGGGTACTAATTTAGGTGTATTACCATTTGGTGTATCAATATTGTTATCTAAAAATCATGTAGAGTTTACTGTAACATTGGAAGCTAAAAAATCGTAAGATCAACAGTTATAAATCATTTTTTATTTTTATTTTTCACTTATTAATATCTCTTTTTTATTATTTTAGCAATAACGAAACAGTTTGGTTGGGATTTTATTTTTCATCATCATTTCTAAAATTTCAAAAGTAAGTATAAAAACTTTTTCACTGAATTTAGATAGTATACTAACTATTTTTCACTATTATTATAGAATATTTAAAAAAACAAATGGATCAATTGATAATTTAAGTTACGAAAATATATCATCAATTCTTCATGTATGTATAATTATAAAATTTTAAAATGGTTGGTTTGGTTTATTAATTTTTTTTAAAAAATAGAGAAATTTAGTTACAAAATTTGAGGATCCATATAGCTGTCCATTATATATTACAGGATCAAATGATAGTAGAGCATATTGGACTATTTTACATAATAACTCAATTATTGGTCATATTCCATTACACAGATCAGATTCTTTTCACTCTTTACAATCATATCCAGTTTTATATTTAGAGAATGATATTCAAATTGTAATTGGTACAGATTTAGATAGAAATCAAATATTCCCATCATATCCAAATGTAGATACATTGTATAACTCAACATTACGTAATATAGATACAGTTTTTTCACAAAATAAGTGGTCTGCAACTGTTATACCAGTAATTAAACAAAACGAGGATGATCCACAACAAAGCGAATCACAACAAACATCACCAGCACCATCACCAAATTCTTCAGGTTCAAATATTCCAACATCATTATCACCATCAACAAGCTCCAATAGTGTTAGCAATGTGGCCGCTCCATCATCTTCAAAAAAGAAATTCGATTTATATGCAAAGCAGTTATTATCAAAGAATCAATTTGATTTGGAGAAGCTTTCAAGATGGTTTATAAAAAAATTTAATTCCAGTTCACCCTTAACATTTGCATATGGTGTTTCCATGTACAGAAAATCAAATACTAAAACAATGGATCTTTTAACCTTAAAAACTCTTCAAACTGGCAAAACATATATTGTAAATTTATTACACACTTTCAGATTAACACCAAGCTTAGATTACTTTAAAGACCCTTATATTCAAAAATCTTTTGAACTTTCAAATTTACCACAGTATACCCAAAAATTTTTTCAGGAAATTGGGGAAAAAAAAGGATTTGCCCCAGGGGTATGGGTTTATTATTATTTTCGGCCGAAAAAAACCCCAAAAACCTAATTAATTATTATTAAATGGGAAACCCCATTAAACCTTAAATTTTTGGTTTTTTTTTAAATTTTAATTTTTTTTTTTTAAAAAATTAATTCAAAAAAACTTTTTATTTTTTTTAAAAAAAATCCATTTAAAATTTTTTCCAAATTCCTAAAAAAAACCCCCATTTTCCTTTTTGGGAAAAAAAAAAATTGGTTTAAAAAAAAAAAAAACCTTTTTTTAAAAATTTTTTTTAATTT